CGCGAAATTCAAAACAAACATATTGCCCCCCAGTGGTACAGCGGTAGTCTGCGGACTTACAACGCTAGAAACCGGGTTTCGATACCCGTGGTGGGCAGAGCGCAGATAGCCTTCTGTGTAGCTTTATGCTTAATTACAAAAAAAAAGTTAATACATATCTTTGTAATACTATTTTCAGATTTCGTTGAAGATGGAATAAGTGTATTCAGAAATGTTCTAGCTTTGTAAGTAATAGTGTTTTGTCAACCGTCTTGTCTTTATTATATGATTCTACAGTATTTTACAAAGACATACCTCTCCTTCTGGTGTCCAATTTGTTAGCCAAGGTTTCATTTTCCAACAGGGTAATGAATCGAAGCATACATGTAAATTATACTGAGGCTATATTGAAAGCAAGAGACAACAAGGTGTTCTCCAAATATAGTTTGACCAACACAATCTCCAGACTTATAACCTATTCAATTCATGTGGGAAAAATAAGTGAAACTATGACGATGCATAATGTAACTCAACTTGTATCAATTCGTGGATGCGTTAATATCTTACATCTTAAAGCCTGGAATGCCCTGACAACTGTATATTTTGATAAACTGTAAAAATATACTTAGCACTTTGGAACGTGAATGCGTTAATATTGGTGTGACAGTCAAATCCCACTTTTCCATCAAATAAAAGTAGCCCAAGAGTTGACGGTGGGTGCTGTTGACTAGCTACCTTTTCTATAGTTTACCAGTTCAAAAATAGAAGAACCATTGCTTAACTTTGAGTAAAATTCTGAAACAAATAATTTATAAATTCAGTCGATACAAAATTCTCTGTCACATAAGATTTTTAATAAATCCTTACGTCAGAATATAATGATGTTAAGACATTACATCTGTTCAGGATAGCCTCTCGCATAAAAGAGTTTACTAAATTCCTTGGAGCCCAATAGAATTATGTCAACATACTATGAACTACTAACTTTTATAAATGTTACCTAGAAAAATATAACTGATTGCAAAGTCGCTTTTTTTAAATGTAAATATAATTTTTTGGCTAACATGCACCCCATAAAACAGGCTATAATGCGGCATGTTGTTTTACTTTAGACATATAAAATAATTCTATGCAAATGGCATCGAACAACTTGACAGAAACATAGCCACTTAGTCATCGCTTGTTTAACCACAGACACTTCACTATAAGTTGATTTAAATGTTGTACCTAATACTGCCCAAGCCATTAACAGCTATCATTTTTTTGTGTTTTGTTAGATATGGTTACGAGAGTTTCCAAACTTGGAGAAGAAAATTTGTTTTCTAAATGAGGCCTAAAAGCGGTGGCTTGTAATCAACATTTACAGCATTTAATGCACGCAAATCGTGAACCATGAATCCCTCATATAACTCTTGACCTATAGTACTTTATTATCAAGTGACGTGAAATTTTATTGTTCTCAATTATCTGTAAGTTAAGTAAAAGGTTGAACCTGTACATTCCTGCTTTTTTCACCCCCGATTTGCTAAAAATGGAATGTTATTTTTTATATTTTATAGAAAATATTAATACAGATTGATCTATCCAAAATTTGTTGACATGAATTCAGGGTGGTATACAATTAATTGACTAAAAGGAGTACAAATTAAAAATGGAATGTTATTTTTATATTTTCTTCTACTACAGTTTGTATGACTTTATATTGGTTGTAGATGTCAAGCTGATTTACAACGCACTCAGCCCTGTGTAATATCTTGTTAACTGAGTAAAGAAAAAACTACATAATAGTTAAAAAACTATTTCTCACACATATTCTTCAGTAACAACTTACTAAATTTGGCACTCCACTTTATGATTTACATAGCAGACTACGTACATCAAGTTTCTTATTGATTTTTTGAATGTATGAGAACTACAGTTTGATAATGCGTAGGTAGTATGATACCACTGAAAACTCAAGTGTGCGTAGCAGTCCTTTCTGATGCAAAACATTCGTACACTTGGATCATAAAGACGTATTCAGATCGTAGAATTGGATCATAAAGACGTATTCAGATCGTAGAATTGGATCATAAAGACGTATTCAGATCGTAGACTTGGATCATAAAGACGTATTCAGATCGTACACTTGGAAATTTCAAATCTATTTGATTTTGTATTTGTGTTTATTAATTCCAGGCTGTTATGCAAGAATAAAAAAATACAGGTATATCACTATCATGAGAGCCGAAATGTAAACTCCATGAAATATG